TTAGAATGTACATATGAATAAAACTGTAGATTGTTGCATTCTTTGTAAGTGGGCAAACCTGCAAAATCAGCAAAGGGGTCAAATACTTATTTCCCCCTCTGTATGTAGGCTTGAAACTGGACCTTTCCTATATACATGGGTTTTAAAGATCAGGTTGTAACACTAACTCCTTACTAACCACAGTTTCTTTGTTTGATTTAACAGCTCAGTTGGTTTTTCTCCCCTCAGCTTCCAGAAGGAGTTTTCCTGCGAGGACAAAGACGACCCAACCAGAAGCAGCAAGGATATAGATGTTAGTCTCCCCAAAGGTTAGTAGATTCAGGTCATTTGGAGCAATCAGAAAATGTTTCCATCCTAGAAATGTCCAGTTTAGAAGGGTATGGATTTAATAAAACATCAGTTTTTTATTCCAGAAAATCCAATCTTAACATTTTTTCTTTGACAAAGTTAAATTTTTATGTATAAATGATCCAGTCTTGGTTTCTTCCATATGTTTTTGGTTTTTTTATGCTGGCTTTCTAACAAGTGTGGCTCTGTGTTTCCACATTTCTAAAGCTTAAATCTTTTTTTTTATATTATTAATCAAGGACAATACACATTCATAAACATTTCTGAATGTTAGTTTTAGCTACAAACCTAATTTTTAACTGTTGTCCCTTAATCAGTTGTTATAATGCTAAACAAATACCAATACATTTAGTGAAATTCTTACATTTTCTCATAGCAATAATTCTCACAGTTCAAGATATTTAATCCTTCAACTGTGACACATTGGGGACATTGGCTGGACATGCGAATCTAAAGACTAAATTTGATAAAAGTTGTTAAAATTCATTTTATTTTTTAGAATTAAACCCTGCAGTAAATGAAGACGTTGTTTGTTTGATTTTGGCCTATTTTTAGGTTTTACGGTGGTTATGGTATTATAATTATCTCATGGTGAATGGAATACTATTCCAGATGTTAGAAACTTTCCTGAAGGATGCTGTTGAGGATTCTCAGTCCTTCAGGTCATAGTCATTCCAAAAAATAAAAAAACTACTGGAATATGTTTCCAATTTGAAGATGTTTGGCTTCCCACCCAGGAAACTTTTTCAATTCAAAATGTCAGGAAAAACGTTGAGTTCAAGGCTTTGTAGAGTGGACCAAAAACAAAGCCTTGTCTATTACCCTTTCAGAGGTATAGACCAGTATCGTGTATTGCAGGATAACAAAGAACCCAAACGACTCCCCATTCCTCAGCTTGCATGTTTCTATGCCAAAATTTTGAATTCTGGCATAGAAATTTAGGCATTTTGACTTGAAAAAGCTTCCTGGATGGGAAATGAAATGTCTTCAAACTTAAAAAAAAACAAAGTCCAGTGCATTGTTTGTTTGTTTTTTTTACCTTTTTTGGAATGACTGTCTTTACCTCAAGATTTCTTCCAGAAATATCTTGTCTTTCATTTTAAGTTTATGCTGCACAATTTGAAAGAATATCTTCCAAACTTTGTCAAAACTTTATAATGATTGAGAGGGCAGAGGCTTTTTTTCCCCCATTCAGTTCTCTTTTAATTTAATATTAAAATTAATCCTTTTTTTCTTTTCAAGTTTCTGAATTAAGGAAGCGTTTCGAAAGCCTTACCACAAGTGCGAGTGACTTGGAGATGAACAGGTATGACGATGAACCTTGCAGGTTGTGAGAGTTATTTCTAGAAATGATATATTTGGAGGAAATCAAAGGACGACGTTTGGTTTTGTTCCGTGAAGAAAGGAGCGGATCGCTCGGAGACTGGAGGGAATTGACGGGGAAGTCCATCCATCCCTGCTGCCCAACTTGGTGACCAACCGGCTGCTGGAGGAAGACACGCCTCGCTACACCAGAGCATCCGACCTCTGCGAGCCGCACACTGGTTAGTGTCTATCAGCTAAATCACAGAATTGTTTGCATTTTATTTCAAATATTCTCACTACGGTTTCTCTCTTCCCTCTGAAGTGACAGTCCAGCGGTACGGCATTGAAGGGTTTGACATCCCAGACGTGCCGTTGAAGCCTCCTGACCGTGAGCCCAGAGATCGAATTAGGTCTGAGCATCAGTCCTCCATCCACACAGAGTCGGCCCACACCGATGCTGCCCCAGAGCAGGAATCCAAAGCTGAACGCATCGCCCGCTACAAGGCGGAGCGACGCCGACAGCTGGCCGAACGCTACGGCATCTCCTTGGATCAGGACCCCGACTTGGATTACGCCTCACGCCGCACCCGGAAGGAAAACGAAAGCTCGGAGAGGCGTAAAAGAGGAGACGAAGGCAGGGACGTCAGCCTCAGCGTTTACAGCAGCAACACGGTCGGCGGGTCAACACCTCAGAGCCGCCCCGTCTCTGCCTACGATGCGCCTCGCAGCAGAGTAGACTCCTTCTCTGAGAGGGAGAGAATGATGAACCTGGAGAATCAGCGCAGGGCCGTCCCGCCTCCGCCCACCTCCTACATGGACGTAACCTCATCGTTCTCCACCAAGGCTCACGCTAAAGACGCAGTGGCATCATTACCGCCCAGCTCGCCAAAGATGAGCAGACACTCATCGCTTTCCTCTCCCAAACACGCTGCGTCTCCTGGAGATGCGTTCGTCGAGCAGCAGGCCCACGGCGTACTGAACAGACACGGGTGAGTGCTCTTCACATCCCAATGTTCATTCCTCTCCTTTTGGATATTAATTTGAAGAACATAGAATAGAAATACCTCATTGTGAGACAGTGGAGAGATCCAGGCTTCTTGTGTATAAATCGATCCTCTTTAAGTTCAAACCTAAAGCAGATAAGCTGCGCTGGTGTGTCTGTTAGAGAAGCATAAACTGGTACCTCTAGATCTGGACTGTAATTTGATAGAGATAAATGTCAATTGATAGACGTGTAGCGCAATTGGAAAAGAAGAGGCTGATAAGTTAAAAAGTTATGTTTCCTTCATTTTTTATGGTAGCCTTTCACATAGCTTCATGCTAAAGTCAGTACTTTATTAAGGAACACAAATAATAATAATGAAATAAGCTGTTTAGTGAACTACTGTCAAAAAGGAAAATATATATATATATATATATATATATATATATATATATATATATATATATATAT